GAGAACTACCGATACAAGATAATGCCAAGTTGAGTAAGACTCAAAGTCCGAGTACCGAAGCTGAAATAGCAGAAATGAGCCGAGTACCATACGCTTCCGCAGTTGGCTCAATCATGTACGCTATGACTTGTACTCGCCCTGATGTAGCCTTCGCTTTGAGCATGGTTAGCAGATATCAAGGGAACCCTGGCAAAGCACATTGGATTGCGGTGAAGAATATCCTTAAGTACCTTCGGAGGACGAAGGAATGGTTCTTAGTCCTTGGAGGGAGTGATGACTTGAAGGTGCGAGGGTATAGTGACGCCAGTTTTCAGACCGACAGGGACAACTACCGTTCGCAGTCGGGCTGGGTCTTTACCCTAAATGGAGGAGCAGTAACTTGGAAGAGTTCCAAGCAAGAAACCGTAGCTGATTCAACGTGCGAATCAGAGTACATCGCAGCGAGCGAAGCGTCGAAGGAGGCAATATGGCTAAAGAACTTCATCGGTGATCTTGGAGTTGTGCCTGCCATAAAGGAGCCCATGGAGATTTTCTGTGATAACGAAGGTGCGGTTGCCTTGACCAAGGAACCGAGGGATCATGGTAGATCAAGACATATCGACAGAAAATATCACTTCATTAGACATCGTGTAGAAGAAGGACAACTCATAGTTAAGAGGATATCATCAGAAGATAACCCAGCAGATCCGCTTACGAAGGGACTGAGTAGGGTTAAGCACTTGCAGCATGCTAGGAGTATTGGGCTGAAGGATGATATTAGTATAGATTAGATAGTATTAGAAACGTATAATAGATAAATGTAATTAAAATTTGGTGATTAAATAAAGGAGTTTTATTTATGAGTAATGTTATTGTCTTATGTTAATCGTTTAACTATTGTTTCACTTTGCATGTTTTGACTTCCAGAATAATTGAATTTATTAGGAATAATCGAATTGTTCAAATTTTCCACAATCGTTCATATGTTGGAAGTAGATATGAATGAAGATTTTCATGAATTGGTGTGTAGATTGTCTAAATGGTGTTAGACATAGCAAAGGGTTGCTGCAACGTTCATGAGTGCTTATGAACTGGTTTTGAGCATTGGAACAAACCCGCGCTTGCTGGAATCACTTTATGGAATACGATATAAAAGGTGATTGCAAGACGATAATATCATATAGTCTTAAAACCTAGATATATGGTTTATTATTTGTTAATTGATTGTACATTGATAATGCGACAACGCATCAGTAACTCGGTGTTATAAAACGCATTGTTGTGTATAGTTGGTTAATGAATAAGTAAATGCATATAAGTCGAAGTTTATCTGTAACTTTTATCAAAGAAGGTAAAAGAGATATCTCGGCCACTCGATGATTTGATATGACTTATGTGTCGGGCCCGGTCATAACTAAATTGATGTGTTTCATTAAGTTCTATGTCGAATAAATCAGAGATCGAGAAATCAAATGCTAGACTAACCATTCCATAGGATTGTCAGCATGATATCTAACAGAGGACTATACGATCCATTATCTAAAGGACAAGATTGATTAGATCAGAGTTTGACAACGTCTTTGAGAGCTACGATTGCAAACCGAATTGTACTTGTATAGTTACTAGACTTATCCAAGTGGAAGACTGTTGGAATAGTGTCTAAGGTTGCAACTATATTAGGTAAGTATTTGACCCAGTTGTGCATGGTCCTTTTGGGTTGCCTTCACCATAGTAACTTGATGGGATGATTTGTTAAGAGAGAGTAAATATTATAAGGAATAATATATATAGTTATTTGATTAATATAAGTCATAGATTAATTAGTATTAATTTGGTGACTTAAAGAGATTAATTAAATAAGAGGGTATAAACTGTCAATTGTTTGATAGTTAAACTTGAGACTGTAAATCCATACATATATGGATTGGACGAATTCTAGGAGCTAAAGGATAGCTCAAAATCGTCCATGATGTTATCTACGAATGGATTTGGATAGCTTTAAGAGAAGATTATCCAATTAGGGTTTAGACTGTAACCCTTAAGGAGTCTGCAAGTATAAATAGACCCTATGGGTTAGGGAAATCGGCATCTCATCTAAAGTAAGAGAACTCTGGCCGATTTCCTCCCCTCTCCTTTCTCCTAAATCATCTTCCTTGCTATTAGTGTTTGTAAGCCATTAGAGGAGTGACATTTGTGACTCTAGAAGCTCCAAGACTACAAGATCATCAAGGAATTCAAAGGTATGGTTCTAGATCTATTTCAATGTAGTTATTTAACCTAATTAGGCATTGGAAGTCTTGGATTCAAAGCATGTTTAATTAGAAAGCCTAGATCCGAGCATTAGGGTTTTGCATGAGCACATAGGAAAGTTCTTATGGCTAAAACCCATAAAAACCTTGTAGTGCCGAACAAGACGTTGCTTCCTTTAACTGTTGAACCAACACACCGATGCAAAGATCCAAAAATCCCATACTTGCTTGACCCCCACCCATGCAGAACCAATCCAAAACACAATCACAAGAGCCTGATCTATCGACAAAACTAAAAACATCCATTAACCCTGAACCCTTCAAATGATACCCTTGACATACATATTCCTTAATTCATATCCTACTAAAATGAAGACCTTGCACATAAACACCCACAATTCCCTACTCAAGTTCCCACCAAAAGCCAACTCAGTACATAACTTACAATCCAAGATCCAAGGATCCACACTTGTATTTCACACGAAACCTTCTGATTCATGACAAACCCTCACTAAACTGGGATATAAAGATTCCTAAACCATAGTTGAAACTACCAGTCTCACACCTAGTCCAGCCACCAGGTTCTTATGGTTACGTATTCCATGAAAGTTAACTAGTAGATCTAGTAGGCGTTAGTGAGCTATATGATTGGTATTTGCCTGTATTATGTGCACACTTGATCCTTAATTGTTTATATGTCGACATATGGTGGCACATGAGGTTGAGGTGGTTCTGCTGTGTGTTATAGGCCATGATATCTAGTACGGACCAACTATATGTCATAGGCATGAAGGCTCAGGAAGATCAATTAGGTTGAGCCGACATGCCAACATACCCAGGGTAATCCATCGGACTCGATATGCATGCTAGTGTGTTTGTTGTATGAGGCATTTTAGAGGAATTTACTGAGCTTTATGTTTCCCCAGTTGTTTTTTTTTTTCAGGTATCATCGATTCGTGGGAAGGTGCAGACGTGATTGTGCACACTTATCTACAACATTGGGGATTCCGCTTTATTATATTACTCTGATTTTTTATAAATGTAACTTGGAACAAATGGTTCCTCTTAAAAAAATGAATTTATAATCAAGAAGTTTACCGTAATAAAAGCGAAAATTTATAGTTGTGAAAATGGGACGTTACACAAATGTCATGTTAAAAATCCAGATCATAAAATTCACATTTTTTTGGAAATTCAAACCTCTTAAAAATTCAGATCCTGCCAAACAACTCTAAGAAGAACTGAATCACTTTGTACACAAAGAATTAGCAAAATATAAAGCTTATTTTGTGAAATGTGAGTCATGAGTGTGAGTGAGATTTGAGATACATATGGAATATTACTTCGGTGTTAATACACATCTTATATTTTTGTAACATAGACGTAACGGGTAGACGTAACGGGTAAACGTTCAACTATAAGATTCATCATAAAAAACATCTTTTCATTTTTCACAATAGAGGTATTTCACTTCATTGATTTATTATAACAATTTTTTATTTTAAATCGAAATATACTTCAACAAGGCTTGACCTTTTTCACCACAGGTGTAACAGCCGTAATTTTAGGCTAGAAGATTTACCATTTTAAATGATATTATTGAAAAATGAAATAAAATAAAAATAATTTAAATAATTAAGTAATATATTTAAAAGCCTCAAAGTTAAATTAAATTAAAATATAGTTGTAGAGGTTAAATAGATGTTAAAATTAAAAACCTTTAAGATTTGGAGTTTAGGTATGATATTAGAATAAATTTATTAAATTGAAATATAGAGTTAGTTATAAGAAAATTTATAATGCCAAGTTGAAATAAAGATAAAAAATACAAATATTATCTTTTTTTAGATAAAGTCATAAAACAAAATATAAATATTATCTAAATCGTCATCTTAGGGATTAAATCAATATTTTAATACAGCATCCTAAATTTTAGATAACCGTGGACACTTATGTATTAAAGCTATGTATTAAAGGTTATACGACCAATGTCTTGGAAGGTTTCATAAGGATTTTATATGTCAATGACAAAAAAAGAGATATTGGGCTTATAGTTGTTTACTTTAGATAAGACTCATAAGAGATATCATTGGGCTTTATATAGGTGTAGCTCACATATATAATTATATAAGGTTTATTCATAAAAGGTTGATGAATAAAAATACAAGAAAGCGTAGAAAATGAAATTGATTATTTAAGAGAGACATATAAAATTAGCCGAAATAACCTTAAGCATTTATAAAGAAATAGCCGATTACCAAAATAGCCAACAAAATCGAAAATGATAATATCCCCAACTATGATTTCGCTTAATGGGCTACAATCGGCTGTGAGTTCAATATATTTAAACTTAGAAATATTTTTTAAACTCGATTTCACATTTTCAAGCTCAAAGAATTCTCTCTAATGGCTTAAACCGGATTGCCCTCTAATAATGTTGTAAATGATTTACTCTTTAGTTATTTTATTTATTTATTTATTTGTTGTATTTTATAAGACATTGTTTAAAACATCATCATTTTTACAAAACATTCATTATGGTACAACTTCTTAATGCACATTTAGTACATTAAAAGCTTGTACAATCCTAGATAGGAATGTCATCTGTTATCTGTGATTTTCTTAAAAAAATCAATGAAATCACAATTTTCAAGAAAGGAAATATAGAGGACAAGATATCATTTGCTATTTCGTTATGTGCAAAATAACTAGAGAGAGAGAGAGAGAGAGGGAGAGAGAGAGAGAGAGAGAGAGAGAGAGAAGAAAGAAAATATGAGAGAAAGTGGAGCGTGGCAAGAAGTCCGGCGTCGGAGGAGAAAAGAAGACAATGAAGACATAAACAAATCAGCAATATCCTATTTCTTCCAGAATTTTCCGCATCAATTGGAAGAAAGAGATTTATGGAAGATCTTTCTAGCATATGGTCTGGTGGTAGACGTATACATTGCAAAGAAGAAGAACATCAAGAACAAGAGGTTTGGATTCGTAAGATTCATCAAAGTAAACGACCCTGCAAGTTTTGAATGGAAACTCACCGATATTTGGATTGGGCAACACAAGCTTCGCATAAACCTGGCAAGATTCCAGCGTAGAAATCCGCCACCCCGACACCAACCCCACGACTACCCAGAACGATCCTACCCTATCAAGGTTGACGGACAAGAAAAATACAACCACCATCATCCAGGAATGTACCACCATATAACAAAACAACCTAGAAGAATCAATCATTCCAATCAAAATCCTCCTCACAAAACCTATGCTGAAGCAGTACAAGGAATCCCTCTCAACCCACCCTCGCCACCCACCACAAACCATCCAGAAGCGCCGCAACACAAATTACCAATGGTCAAAATGTCATCTACTCCGGAAACCAGGGAATTTCTGAAGAGAGCACTCGTAGGTGAAACCGAAAACTTTCAAGCTCTAATGAACGTGAAAGCTTTCAATGATGTCGAAGGATGCCCAAACATTGTTATGAGATACTTGGGGGGTCTTAAGATGCTTGTCGAATTTGAAAGCGAGTCAGAGAAGAATAAAATGTTGACAGAAGGAGAGCATATATGGAGACCATGGCTCAAAAGTTTATACCACTGGAAACCGGAAGAAAACTTCAATGAGAGAATTGCTTCCATCATGATCTCTGGGATGCCTCAACATGCATGGTGTGAAGAAGCATTTTCAGCAATAGCTAAGAATTGGGGCATGGTGGTAATCTCGGATGAATGCCAAACGGACTGCCCGAACATGGCATTTGGACGAGTAGGTATCCTTACATCTCACCCAGGGCTCATCAATATGAACATCACCATAGCAGTTGATAATCTCCCGTACCATATCACAATCATGGAGGACATATTCGAATCTACCAGACTAAGTCCAGTTCTGGCAAGAAACGACTTCGAATTCCATCCTAGCACACTATGGAACGTTAATGACGATGATTTGGGATCGATCGGCGACAATGTAGACGAGTTCGGAGACTATGAAGTCGACACAGATGAAGATATCGACGACATACCCATTCCGGCGGCTTCGCCGGAACTCCATGCTTACCTGGCAGAAGGGGAATCGACGCCTCAATCGCCACAAACGGTAGTGGAAGAGTCTCTTCCACACATTATCCATCCTCGTAAATCACAGGGACAGCCGATACCGAGGCCAGCCACTCATAACCAATCAATCGACGAATCACCATCCCCTAGGGTATCAAACAATATAATGCACTGGAAAATAAGAAGTGGGCCCCAACCTAATTCTAACCATAATCACAATTCTCGCCCTTCATCCCCAAATCAGCCACAAGGCAAAAACCACCCTAGGCAAGCCCAAACATATAACTCTGTAGCCCAATACAACATATCTGACCAGCTTGCTGGAGCCCAAGCCCAAAGCCCAGTTGATCCTACCAAATCACAACCCAATCCCCAATCCCACCTTCACCAGATTCCCCAACCGACATTACAAATCAATAATGATAAATACATAGACCTCAACTTGTCTCTAGTAAGATCAAAAACCACACAATCACACGGTATATCAAAATCCCCAAACCACCACACAATGGAATCAAATAGAATGGAAACTTCTCTAAATACAAATGAGGAGATAGCACAGACGATAGCCATTGTAGAGAGGATTGGATTTCAAATCAATGGATTTCAAGAGGAAATAAGAAACATCATCAAGAAAAGGAGTGTCACCATTATTAATCAATGAAGATTCTCTCCATTAACAGCAGAGGTGTCGGGTGTGAGGTAAAACGAGCATGGATCAAAACCCTTAGAACTAAAAACCATATATCGCTACTTGGAATCCAAGAAATAAAAACCTCAGAATTTAAGGGCAAATTAGACAAGGCAATCTGGGGCTCGTCAACATTCTTGTGCGAAACAGTCGACTCGATCGGACTGTTAGGGGGAATAGCGTCACTATGGGACCCATCAACATTTAAATGCTCTATAACTATAAAAGGGGAAAACTTCTTAGCAATGAAAGGAACTTGGGTCGCCTCAAATTTAGCACATGGGTTTATAAACGTTTATGCTCCAAATGACCCATCTCGAAGGGAAACGCTATGGTCAAATCTGGAAAGTGTCATATGCTCAGACGATAATATTCGATGGGTGGTGTTCGGAGACTTCAACGCAGTCAGATCAGCGGACGAGAGAATTGGGTCCATATTTTTCTTTTCCACTGCATATCACTTCAATAAATTCATCGCCTCTGCTGGTTTAATTGACCTACCTATCGGTGGCCGAAAGTTCACGTATATGAGTCCAGACTGCTCCAAACATAGCAAACTTGACCGCTTCCTAATCTCGCATAATTGCTCTACTGATTGGCCGCACCTGACAGTTACGGCTCTACTGAGACTACATTCTGATCATTGTCTATTAATCCTCTCATCATCTGTTAGTGACTTCGGGGCACCCCCATTCAGATTCTTCAATTCCTGGCTACTAGAGGATGAGCTGGAAGGAGTTGTTAAACAAGGATGGGTATGTAACACAACCCCAAGAACCTTTGCCTCCTTCGCCCCTATAAAAGTGGTGGCTGGCAAACTAAAAAAATACCAAAGAGAAAATCAAGGAATGGAGAAAATCCAAAAATGTAAAGGAATAAAAAAGAGTGGAAGAGTTAACAAAGGAAATCGACTCAATCGATATTAATGCAGAATCGCACTCCCTAGATGAATCGAAGATAGAACTCTGAAAGAATCTATACAGAGAATTAATGGATTTTGAGGCCAAACGCATACTCGACCTTAAGCAGAAATCCCGTTGTAAATGGGCACTGGAAGGTGATGAAAACTCTGCTTTTTTCCATGGTCTGATCAATAAAAATTATCGATCTCAAAAATTATCTGGCATTAACATCAATGGTTTCTGGACATCCAATCCAGAATCAATAAAAAAAAGCGTTTGAATTCTTCTCCAAAAAGTTCACTGAACAAATCAGCAGCAGACCCCAATTCCTCAGCCAAAAATTCAACAAACTCAGCCCCATTCAAACTCAAAACTTAGAAGACCCAATTACAGCGGCGGAAATCAAAGCAGCGGTGTGGCTATGCGGAAATGATAGGGCCCCTGGACCAGGTGGCTTCACCTTTGCTTTCATTAAAAAACACTGGGACATGATGGAGAGCGACATATACCTAGCAATCAAAGATTTCGAATCTACAGGTGTAATTGATAGGGGATGTAACTCCTCCTTCATCATCCTTGTCCCCAAAACAACCGAACCGATTTCCCTCTGTGAATACCGCCCGATCAGTCTAATTGGATGTATATACAAGATCATAGCCAAAGTCTTAGCGGAAAGGCTGAAAAGATGTATCCCTCAAGTCGTTAGTCATACCCAAACGACTTTCATCAAAGATCGCAACATTCTTGATGGTCCATTGATTATAAACGAAGTGATATCTTGGCTTCGGAAGAACAAATCGAAGGCGTTCCTTTTCAAGGTTGATTTCGAGAAGGCATTTGATTGCCTCAATTGGAAATATCTCGATTCAGTAATGGCTCAAATGAACTTTGGCCAGAAGTGGTGTAAGTGGATCTTCGGTTGTCTCTCCTCAGCTCGTGCTTCTGTAATCATTAACGGATCCGCCTCCAAAGAATTTCCAATTAGACGGGGAGTAAGACAGGGCAACCCCTTGTCTCCATTTCTGTTCATTTTGGCTGCAGAGGGCCTTAACATAGCGCTGGAAGAGGCCAAAGAGCAGGGCATCTTCAATGGAGTTCAATTGCCAAATAATGGGCCTACCATATCACATCTTCAATACGCCGACGACGCGATCTTCCTCGGCTCCTGGTCAGTACAAAACGCAAAAAACTTAGTTAGAATTTTGAGATGCTTTGAATTATCCTCAGGTCTGAAAGTCAACATAGCCGAAAGCAAACTCTTTGGCATTGGAGTTAGTGAGATGGAACTAGACTATTTATCAAGAAGCGTTAACTGCTCAATCGGGAACCTCCCCTTCATATATCTAGGAATGCTGGTGGGTGCAAGTATGTCTAGATTGGTACATTGGAACTCCCTTATATCCAAATTCCAAGAAAAACTATCAAAATGGAAAGCCAATAATTTGTCGTTTGGGGGTCGATTAACATTATGCAAATCAGTGTTGGGGAGCCTCGGCTCATTCCTCTTCTCGCTCTACAAAGCTCCGGTTAAGGTACTAAAAACACTTGAGAAGTTGAGATGCTGCTTCTTCTGGGGCGGATCACTCGAGAAAAGAAAGGTATCATGGATCTCATGGGATAAAATTTTGCCAAAGAAAAAAGATGGGGGACTTGACATTGGCAGCCTGAAGGCTCACAACCTAGCACTATTAGGCAAATGGTGGCGGCGTTTCTATTCCAGCAAACACGAACTTTGGAAAGATGTCATAAAATCAATATATGGGAATGATGGGGGGGTTTAATGCCCCTTCCAGAGCTAAGAGGAAAGGATATTGTTGGGGTAGCATTGTGAATCTTCATAACTACTTGTCCAAAGATAACCTGAATCTCCGTAATCTCTTCTCAAGATCGATAGCCCCGCAGGACAACAACATGACCTGGAGCCTTGAACCCTCGGGGATATATATTGTGGCCTCTCTTAGGAGATTCATTGATGAAACAATATTACCAAAAACACCATCTGGTTCTTGGGAATGGAACAACCTGGTCCCTGGTAAAGTGAATATCCTAGCGTGGCGAATTTGTCATAGTCAGCTACCCACCAGAGTGAATCTAAACAAAAGGGGTATTGTATCTGTGACTACCTGCCCACTATGTAATATCGCTGAGGAATCCGAAACACATTTATTAACTGAATGCCCAATAACACAAGAAGTTTGGAGTTGTGTACAGAAATGGTGGTATATGTTCCCATTAACGTTCGGTTCACTGAATGAAATGCTTCATTGCAGAAACTTAGCGTCGGGCAGGGGTAACCTTGATCAAATTCAGGAAGCAGTCATGTTGATATACATGTGGGTGATCTGGAAGTTCAGAAACGATAGAATCCACTCGAACACAGTCAAATCACATAAAATTCTGGTAAACGAAGTACAAATACTAAGCCATTTGTGGATCAACTCAAGAAGCAAACATAAAAAAAACTAGATGGGAGAAATGGTGTTGTGATCCGATAGCTGAGTGTAATAGCTGAGAAGGGGGGGGGGGCATGGGGCCGGGTGTGGGTTTATTGGGTTCTTATTGGTGAATTTGGGGTCCTTGGTGATGTACCTAATTACAGCCAGCGTGCGTTTGGTGTGAGTCTCTTTCATCGGGTAGACATACGTTAGGAATCGGCTGTGATTAGGTTCTTTTTCGTGATGTTTGCCTTTCTTGTGAAATCTGGGTTGTGGGATGGGGGACATTATAATAATTTTTGGTGTGCGTTTTTCTTTTTCTCCTTTTTCTGGTGTTGCATCTTACTCCGCAGGTGCTGAAGAACATTGGAGCTTGAACTCGATTAAGACAACACATGTGCTGCTGATTGAAGCCGACATGGATCATGCTTCTATTGCATGAAAAAGGCAAAAGCTAAGATGGCATCTATGGTTCTGGATGGTTTCTGGATAATCTGGACAATTTTGCCCCTGTATATAAAAAAAAGGCTGATCTGTAGAGATCTACAATGCATTTGACTTGCTTTCTGACGTAGCTGATGAACTAATCTGAAGAGGTAGAGCAGCTTTATCAGGTAATCAATCTATCACCCCAAATAGACAAAGCAGTGGAATAAAGATGGATATGAATATTGAGGAAGATGTTGCAATCGTAATTGAAGGATATGGCTCATGGATCAAAATCAAATTCAAAATCTCAATCGATGATTGGTAGCTGAGATACAAGCTCTGTCCCATCTATGGTTAAATGCACGGAAAAGGAAGGGAAAAAATCCAGGTGTTTTGACCCAATATTAGAAGGCTATCGCAACCTGTAGGTTTCTTGTATTTCTGTTTCCTATTCTGTTTTTGTTTTACTTCCTTTTTGTTTGTCAAACTTTTGTAATCTCTAGCCCCTGGCTAGTTTTCTTCTTTAATATCATGCCTGCCGTTCAAAAAAAAAATTATACACAAGAGGAAATCGCTAATGGGCCTTCAAAACCACAACTCATTAAGCGAAATCACAGGCAAATACGTGCTACCTATGATTTTGTTGGTTATTTTGGTTAATTTCATTTTTTTTTTACTATTTGTTAGAAAATAATTAAGAATTGTAGCTAAATTTGTGATATTTTCATTGCATAATGGATTTATGGAATATTATTTGTTTATATAAAAATAGATAATTACAATAAGTTGTTTTCGATGAACAAAGTAAAGTCAAAATTGACTCCCCACTTGGTTCTTATTTTTGATACCAACAAAGGGGAAAAAAAGAGAATAAACAAAATCCGGTGCAGTATAGGGAGATACGATTTGACTTTGAAAATAAAAGTTATTATTTCGTAAAAGTAATTATTCGTTTATCTGGTAATATATATTTTTAAATATATTCATATTAGTTAATGTGATGGTAAAACATTAAAAGCCGATATACATTTTTGTAAGTGGTTGTTATATATATATATATATATATATATATATATATATATATATATATATATATATATATATATATATATATATATATATATATATATATATATATATATATATATATATTTACTACTTATAAAAGAAATCTAACTATTTCTATAAATAGATTGAATATAATAAT